AGCCGGCTCGATTCCATGATTTTTGTTGTGCGGAAGTTGCGATCGTCCAATGTCGAACGAGCCGCGCGATGTTAGAAACCAACGCGCACGACACGAGCCGACCGTATGGAATCGTGTTCTTGTTCGTTGTTTTGCCGATCGGCGCGGGCCCTCGCCCCCCCTCCCACATCCCTCCCATGGAGTAGATCTTGACTGTTTTGTCGCCTGTTTCAAGCAGGTGGAGTCTCCCCCATAGCACGCACTGCTGCAAACAGGCGCATTGAGCAGAGGTCCAGAGCCAGATCCCCTCTCCATCCCTTCCCTCTGCCCACTGTCGAAACGCCGGATATCGGCGACGAGCGAGGGGGGGAAATGAGAAGGAGAAATGCATCCTCAGAACGCGGCGGGGCTTCTCAGAAGCCCTCGCGCCCTCTGAGAAGCCTTCTGCGTCTCCGGGGAAGGCCGAGGGAACTTCTCAGAGGCCGGGGTGCTTCCGAGCCTTCTGAGAAGGTCTCCTCTTCCTCGCTCCCCGCCCCCCTCGCTCGCCGCCGAATTCTGTCTTGCGTTCGGTGCGTTGTTTTCTCGTGGTTTTTCCGGTCTGGGGGCTCACAAAACTTGGCCAGACGTTGGTTTTTCTGTTTTTTTTTCTGGTCTGACGGTAGTAATTCGCAAGCCCCCAACCTCCAGGCCAGGTTTCGTGTGCTCCCAGACCAGCAAAACCAGAAAAAAGCAACGCCTGGCCAGGCTTTCTGAGCTCCCAGACAATCGGGCGACGAAATCTATACATATCCACTGCTCCCTGACCATGCCCATCTTGAACCCAGGAGCTGTGTATGCGCCCTCCTGGCCAAGCCAGGAGGGCGTGGCGTATACACCGCTGCGGGGTTGAGGATGGGCCTGGCCTGGGAGCAGTGGATATGTATAGATTTCGTCGCCCTAACCAAGCCACCCCAACCCAACCCGAAGGCCTCAATTTGGCCTCCATTTCCAGTGGGGGGGGAGTCGGGGAACATTGAAAAAACACCGGCGGAGCCCGTACCCCCCCAGCCCCAAATTCGGGTCTTCGGGTTGGGTTGGGGTGGTCTGGTAGGTAGTCAATGGAGGAGGCGGGAGGAGGTGGTTGGAGAGGAGAGGAGAGGAGGGGAGGGGAGGGGAGGCGAGGGGAGGATGAGAGGAGGATGGGACGCGGGGCGCCGTCTCTGCAAAGCGACAGCCCAACACCGCAGGATGGATGGGAAAAAATGATCCGGGTGAAGGGCTTCACCAGGTGGCCCCCAGGAGGGGTCCGGGGACCGATTTTGAGCGGGGTGTGTTTCTTCCCCACCTCCACACTGACTGTCTGGCTTGGCATCGCTTGGACGTGTGCGTTCTTTCTCGGCGAGGACCATCGAGACAAATCCTGGATCGTCGTGAAAAAAGAAGCGCGCGAAACCGACAAATGCACTGGGAAAGGACGTTCGAGCGATGGCGAGGCTTGGACTTTGCGTCGTGCAGCTGGGCCGATTAGAATGCCAACCTTGTCCATCGCGTGATCTGCCCGCTTCATGTCTGGAGCACTGGTCGCCCTCGAACAGATTTGTTTCCTCTTGGGTATCCTCTGCGGTCAGTTCTGGCCGCGCAGCGCTGGAGTTCGTCGAACAACGTTCACGGAGGAGCAGAACCATCGGAGGTCAGCACGATAGCTTCGCTGCTGCCTCACAGTGGTTGCAGCAGGGGCTGCCGATATTAGGTGACTGCTATTGTACGTCGATCGCTCTTTGTTCCACTTTCACCAGTTGCACTTATGAGCCCTGCTGACCCTCCAATTGCAAGCTGCTCTTTCATTCATGTCACTCTTCGCATGTGTCGCGCAGACGGTAGAGACTATTATGCTAATGTGTGGTCCCTGACACGGGATGTTTCAACAGCGTCAGCATTGCCAAAACATATTGTCAGATGAAGTCGCATGAGCGCATGCGTTCTTTCATCAACCACCTTGGAGGATGATCGCCAACAATGATGTTAGTTGGATTTTTCCTGTGAGTTGTGAGAGGGCGTTGTGGATCCATGGGTCTTGAAGTCATGCCAGAACGAAGGACATTCGTGGACGATGTGACGGGCGCGCGCGCGTGCCAATTAATGTGACATGTGGTTCGCACATGCGCCTGCACTCACTCACGCATGTGCAAATCATTCCCGCTTGCGCGCATTTGCGGTCGCACGTGCACCGCGCATGCGCTTACTGGCGAAATGGTGAGCATCGGCTCAAAGTTGGACGCCGCTTGCGACCCAGAATTGCCCCATCGTCGAACGATCGTTCAAGATTGAACGATCCCGCGGTGTCAGGAAAGCATGCTGGTGTCGTCGACACAACACGAATTTGCTGTAAGAGTGGGGGCGGAGGCGGAGGCGTGGGCGGTCGAGGAAGGGGATCTTCGTGGGTTTAGAGTTCAGTCGGCATGTCCCTCTACATGAAGAGTGTTCAAAAATAGTGAAAGAAAATAGTCCGGGGACGATGTTCCGACTATGATTGGCCATCCTGGAGTATGGTTTGATTCGTCTTCCTTCCGTCCAAAGTCCCCCTGTAGGAGGACACGCCCGGCCTAAGCTTAGAGTCTCTGCCCCGAGCCGTCGCGCTGGCTCCCGAGGGGTCCACTGGTTGCCTCCACGTGCCCAGGTCACCCACTGGTCCCCCCCATGGGGCTCGCAGCGGGCCCCCTCGGGCGTCGAGATCTCACCCAGCCTCTCGTCAGAAGCACCAGGAAGTTTCGTGTCGCAGCGAACGGATTTCTGCCACAGCAGTCCAGCGTCTCTCTCCCGGCGGCTTCGCCCCCTGACGAGGGAGGAGGGGAAGGGCGAGAGGTGTGGGAATCATTTGTTGTGCGGACATTTGCTGTGGGAAGGGCCGAGCAAATGTTTCGGGTGATTCGACTCGCGGTTGCACTTTGCAGCGATGGTTTGAATCGAGCGACTTGGGGGAGTCCGCGACAGGGTGCCTTCTTCCTTCTCTTCCTCCTCCTCCTCCTTTAGGCAATCCTTTTTACGGGGGTGGGGGGGCAGAGAAGGTGTGGACGGGGCGGGGGGAGGGGGGAGGAGAGGTGAGGAAGGGGAGGAGCAGGAGAGGGGGGGAAGACAGTGGGGACGGAGAGGGGGGGCGGAGGTGGCGGAGAAGGGAGGGAGGGAGGAGGAGGAGGAGGAGGAGGAGGAGGAGGAGGAGGAGGAGGAGAAGGAGGAGGAGGAGGGGGAGGAGGAGAAGGAGAAGGAGGAGAAGGAGGAGGAGGAAGGAGGGATAGGATACGGAGACGAAGATGATAGGAATGGAGGGGAGAAGGAGAAATAGGGCGGAGGAAGAGGAGGGGGTAGCTTTGCAGCCATAGCCGCGCCGAAGCACACAGGAGGAGGAGCAGAGGGATCAGCCTTTGTCTGCTGGCGAGCCTACTCCCGGCGTCTGGGCGTCAAGGGCCAAGGGGGAGCAGTTGCACGGTTGCAGGAGGATGGGGGTGCAGTGGGGACGCATGCCAAGAAACACCCTGCTCGCCCTCAGGGTGCCCTTGGTTTCTCGGGTTTCGATTGTTTCGCTGTGGACAGCGCGACGCTCCCACACCAAAAGTCAATGGACGTTCTTGTGTCTTAGGGCTGTGTTTCTTGTGGAAGGTTTCTTTTGGACTGGCCTCCACTGTATGGTAGGCGGCACATCAAAGCAGAAGTTCGCCTGCTGGCGGGTGCTCCCCAGAAGGTGGCATCCCCCGATGGGCCCCGAGGACCCACGGAAGCCCTGAGGCACCTCAGGAAGCTCGGAATATGAAGACAAGCGTGCCCCTAGATCTCGAGCAGTGGCGAAGCGTCCTGGCTCTCCTATAGTACCACCAAAGCATGTTCTAAGAACCTGCTGTGGCCTGCGCGACATTTCTTAGAACACACCTGGCTGTGACTGTGCTGTTTTGACTCATCGGGTTCATGCTCTGAGAGAACTGTTCTTAAGTCCTTCGAACATTTCTGGATCCTGCGAACAGTTCGCGGTACGCCTATAGGATTGCTTGGACGGTCGGTCCCTGCTCAGAGATCTCTTATCGCAGGAGCGCTTGTCGAGTAGAAGGGCCCCACCGAGTCCACGCCCGCCCGCCCGCTGGCCCACGCCGATCCCCCCCCTCATGGGCGACGCGCGTGCTCCCAGAGATCTCATGGTATGAGCTCGGCGGTGGGCGCTTTCTCGTTGTACTCGTGGAGGGCGATCAACGGAGGGGAAGCATGCTGCCAAATACTTGCCAGATGTCTCAAAGATGCTTCAACGATGTTTGAACATGTTAAAAAACATGTTTGAAACATGTGTAGAACATGTTTCACACAGTTGAAGCACATCTTCCATTCAATGATCGGATTGGTAGAGTGTCCGTTGTCATGGCATCCACAACGCTATACGTAGCACCCCGCAGTTGCGAATAAGAGCGAGGGGGCGGCGAGGGCGTCGCCAGTCTGCGAGGCTCTGAAGAAGCCCGCCGCAGGCGCTTCATGTTTTCATATGATACAAGGACCCCGCCGCAGGCACCGATTTTCTCGTTCGAGCAACGTGGGCGTGTCGCGGGCGGGTCGCGGATGGGTCGCGGGCCGGGTCGCGGGATGGTCGCGGGTGGGTCGCGGGCTGGGACACGGGGTGGGTCGCGGCCGGGTCGCGGGGTGGGTCGCGCGGTGAGTCGCGTCGTGGGTCGCGGGTGGGTCGCGGGTGGGACGACGACAACAAATTTTAAACAACAAATAACAAACAGCAGACAAGGCAACGACAGCAATCACAACAACAACCACCTCAACAACAACAATTACAAACAAAACAACATCCGCACCGCGGAACCTTTTTTCAGCCACGCGCCCAGGGACAGTGAATGACGGTTCGGCCCCCTCATTCAGAGCACATGACGTTTGTATTGTGTTATGCTCTGGTCGGGCGCGCGCCTCCAGAAAGGACACCGGAATCATTAGTATGTCTTTGAGTGTCCACCATCCCCTCCCGCCAGAGCAACCCGGTGCCGGTGACGGTGCCCCCGCCGATGCCCGGCTTGGCCTCGCAGCACTGGCCCGCCTCCCTGCCCGCTCGCACGTGCGCGCCCACGGGGGCGGCGGGGCGGCTGCGCATCATCAGGGCGGGAGGATGGCGAGGAGGATTGCAACAGGGGGCGGGCGAAGAGGATAAAGAGGGGAGGATGGCGGTGAGGATGGCGGGTAGGAGGATGGGCAGGGCGCGGTAGGATGGCGAGTTGGAGGAGGATGGCGGGAGGATGGCGATGGGGAGGATGGTACCAGGATGGCGAGGAGTAGGATCTAAGCCTCCCATGTGGGGTACAAGGTTGGATGGAGTCGCAGGATCGCGCCGCATCCTCAATGCATCAGCGATGCGATTCGATGTGGAGCCCGGTTTTCTCTGCGCCGTCGTCGCCGATACATTGCCGACGTCGCCGATGCATCAGCGATGTATCGGCGATGCATCGGTGATGTATTAACTATGCGGCGTGATTCTCCGACCCTAGTCCGATCCTATCTAAGAGGCCTCTAGATGACCAGAAGCTCGCCGTGAGGGAAAGGGCCCTAAGGGAAGCGGGTCCTGGAAGGTTTCGCCGTTTTTTCGTGCGGCGTGTCCTTGGGAAGGCCCCTGGGTCTAGGACCACCTCTTCATCCTCCTCCTTTTCTCGTCCTCCTGAGTCCATCTTGAGCCGCTTCTGTTGAGGGTCTAGGACCGTTTCCCTCACGATCCGTGTCCTTCATGCTAGGGATCACCGGCAAAAGAGCGCAGGAGGAGTCAAGGAGGAGGGGGCCTTGGATTCTGGCAGAAGTGCAGGGGGCAGGATGAGAAGGGAGTATGAGGAGGATCATCTAGTCGGGCTGTCGGTCGAGGACTTCGAGTGACTGAGTCTGTTGAGCTGTGTCCAGGTTTGATGGTCGCAGTGGCAGCCTCCAGCCCAGAATCATGGGCTACTCGACAGCCCACTAATCACACACATCGTAAACCGTAACCTCCACCCTATTGGCCACCCGCATCAACCTAACAAGGGATAATAAGGACGAAAAAGGATAATAGGGAATACGGGAGCGGGGTAATGATGAGGATCCAGATGAGGAGTAGGAGGAGGATGAGGAGGAGGAGGAGCAGGAACTCGAATATGGCCAGTAGGGAAACGGGATGGGGTGTGCACGGGTTTGTGCGCTAGTTGTAACCAGTTGTCAGTTCAGGGCAAACCCTGCCCAATGAATTTGATTGAACGCCCCTGAGGGGGCAGACACCGCCGCCCCACTTTTTTAGGAGCCCGGAGTTTCTCTGCCGGGGTGTCGATGGCGATCCCGGACGGCCGAAAAAGGTTTGGAGGGCGGCGCAACGAGGGCGGCAAGAGGCTCTGAAGACGGCATGGCATTGCACCACGCGTGTCGAAGTCTGGGGGCGACACTGCGGTGGCATGCGCAAACGAAGTAAGTAGCACACATAAGCCATTGTTGGGCCCTCAGACGGGGAAATATATCCCGTGTACCTCGCACGTTTCCGGACTTCTCGTGAGGTGGGCCCTTCCCGCACTTTTGCGTCTCGCGCGTCCCTCACTTCTCGCCATTTTGGGCGGCCTGGGGCGATGGTGGGGGCTCCTCGGCCCCTCTAGGGGCCGTTTCGGGGCGTTCTTGGGCCCGTGTGTCCGCCTCTTGGGCCATCTCGGGAGCCGTCTTGGGCCATCGTGGGGCTGTATTGGGGCGGTCCTGTAGGCTTATTGGGCTTGCTTGGGGCGTGGGGGCGCCGAAAAGGCGAGAAGGCTGAAAACCTCCAAGGACTTAGTGTAAATCAATGATTTCCGCCTCTGGGACGCCTCTTGGAAGCCTCGACGGACGTGTTGGGGGCATCGAGGGCCATCGTGAGACCATTTGGGGCCACTATGGGACGCTGTTGGCGTCTGGCCGTAGGGCATGCGAACTATTTGTAGACTCATTGGGCCACTGCTGGACGGTTCCAGAGGCTCCCAGCAGGCCCGCGCTAAAGAGATACGGCATCTCTGCCGGGGACGTGCCAGGAGTTGACTGGGGTGCTTGCCGCTCTGTGACTCCCAGGGGCCGCCACGCGCGCTTCCTCGCCGAGGCTGTTTTGGACGCTCCGGCGACCCGCGAAACGGCACCTCCAGGTCCAGGGGAAGGGGTGGGGGGAGGGGTAAACCCTTCCCCGATGGGGAAGAAGGGAAACGTCGTAGTTGGACACAATTTACGCTTCTGAAGGGAGTGGGGCACTTTTTGCTTGTTGAGGCTCTCTAGGAGAGCCTTTCGAGGCTCCCTTTGGGCTTCTTGGTGGCGTCTGGGGCCGTCTGGAGGCCATTTTGGGCGTCTTGGGACGATCTTGCGGGTCGGCAAGCCAGAAAGTTAGACTCTAGACGCTCCGCGTAACCCAACCAGCGCTGCCGCTCGCTTAGGCCGCTTCGCCCGCGCGTGTAATTAGATCGGCCCGTGGCCCGGACCTTTCACCACGGCGCCTGCGTTTTCGCTTGCGCCCACGAGAAAAACGTAACCCCACCAGCGCTGCCTCGGGACTATACGGCTACGGCCACACTGGGATTTGCAGCCTGCCAACGCCTTCGCCTCCTGTCTTCAATTCTTCGACCGACGGTCCTTTGGGACACAGTGGCACTCACGCAGTTGTCCGGGGTTGCGTCCTTACTTTAATTTCGGCTTCTGGCCCGGGTCGTCGTGCGTCCCGACTCCCTGGTGTCCGACTTTGCATACTTGCACGCTGGCAGTTCGACTTCGTTTCAGCTGTCCTCCCACCCGCCGGTCCACCGCTGTACGCGGCGGCCTCCTTCCGTCGCCTTAGGTTAGTCCGTCGCTGCGTAGCCCGCTTTGACTTGACTCGCCGCCGGCGCGCTCGCCCGCGGCCGCTGACAAAAAGTAACCCCACCAGCCCATCCAGAAACGTGTCGAGACGAATGCTTCGATCAGGGAAGTGGGCAGCACACAGAGGAAGGGTCCCCCAGTGGAGGCCTCTTGGAGCGTCTTTGGGGCCTCTTGGCGGTCCCGGGCGCCTCTTAGAGCGTCTTGGGTGCCGCGGAGAGCTTCTTGAGGCCTCTTGGAGGTTTCTTGGGAGCCTCTTGGAGACCTCTTGGGCGCCTGTTGGGGCCTCCTGGGGCCTCCTGTGCGCCTCTTGGGACACTCTTGAAGCACTCTTGGGAGCCTTGGGAACGCTCCAGGAGCCTTCGGATAGCCATCGGAAGCGAAAAGGCGAGAAAGCCAAAAACATAGATTTGCCGAAGGTTTTGGAAGGATGTGGGCCTCTTCGGGGCCTCCTGGGGGAGCTCTTAGGCCACTTGGAGCCGTCGTGGAGCTGTCTTGGGGCCTCTTGGAGCATCGTGGGAGCCATCTTGAGGCATCTTGGGATATTTTGACCCATCCTGGAGGTCATCTTGGGCCCTCCCAGGCACTCTTGGGAGTCATCTTAAGCAGTGCGCCGCCCCCCCCCAGGAGGCCAACATGTGGCCAAAACCTTAGTAACACCAGTGACTGTGGCATTCTCGCCGAGGCATCTTGGAGCGTCTTGGGTGCCTCTGGGGGGCCTCTTGGGGCCTCTTGGGGGTCTCTTGGGAGCCTTTTGGGGGCATCCTGGGGGCCTCGCGGGGGCCTCTTGGAGCTTCCTGGCCACCTCGTACGCTGCGTTGTTGCTATCCGTTTTATTTTTCACAAGAGCATGACCAGGTTATTGTGTCAGCTTGTCTAGGGCAGGTCGCCGCGAGTGCCTGAACGGTAAATTGTGTTCACTCTATGATGATTGTTGCGAATATTGAAACAAGTGGCTGTCTGCATTTACAGAAAGCCTCGGGGTACGCATCCTGTTGATTCGCATTGCAATGCCATGCCCCTGGAGTCTGGCCTCGTTTAACTCCAGGGGGCGTCTTCGCGCAGCAGAGACTGGAAGATGACTGAAACGACGTCAGTCATCGCCAACTTCCGGTACATGTTGTACGTACGACGGCCACTTGCTTCACCATTCGCTGCGTACGAGACCTCTTTGTACATCCACAGGAGCTCTGTATCGATACGCATACGCATGGCACTCACACCCGACAAGCTTTCATGTGCATCAGCAGCAGAGCGTCGACGCCACATTCTCACCGACCAGCATTTGGCGCGTCCCTGGGCATGCTTTCCTGCGTTTCTCTGCTGAAAGCTTGCTCTTGGAAGGACACGGCTCGTGGGCTCTTGTGTTGAAGGTTTTTGGACGGTACTTCACAGACAGTTCGTTCAAGATAATTGTCCGACTACCATGCGGCAGGTCATGGTCTAACCCACGTCCTAGAAACGAGCCCGCTTCGAATCCGTCGTCGGCCACAACGGATACGAAAGGCGGTTGGGAACAGTGGAAGCGGAGTATGCGGCGGGGTCATTTGCGGAGGGGACAGGTGATGGGGTAACGGAGGGGTGGATGGAAAGACCGTTGAGAAGAAGGGGGTAAGTACGGGGCGACAGGGGAGAGGGCCAGTTGGCGAGGGTTGACACTGAAGGCTGTCATTTCTCCGTGTTGCATTCACTTGCCGCTCTGCCACGTCACTTTGGTTTTGGGTCGTACCGATGCTTGCCCTATTTCGTGTCGACAGGATGTCGCACTATTGTCCACTCCACAATGCCAGCCGCACGCCTCGTGGGTTGCACGGGGAATGTCTGTTGAGTTTAAAAACTCACGTCTGTTCTCTGTCAGGTTCATATGTTCATCTCTCAGGTGTTCTGCAGGTTTCTCGCCGCGCGCCGCGAATCCTCGAACGGTGTCCTTGCCGCAGGGGCCCCGACATTTAGGCGCACGATGTCATGCTAAGACGCGCAGTAAGCAACACGGCCAAGGCCTGCTCGTGTACGAATGCTCTGGGGCTTTTTCCCGCATGCACTTGACGCACAGCAGCTCGGCAGCTTGGATCTACTCCTTGGCCGGCAGCCCGAATAGGGCACAACAGGTCTAGCTCAGCATTTGTGTGCTCAACCTGCCCCGTATTGCATATGGCCCGAGTGTGCATCGCCATTTTGATTATTACAACCCCCTGACTTCAGGAACGAGCTGAAGCCCATCTCGTGTCCCTTGAGCGCGCCTTCCGAGTCGGGGCCGACATCCACGTCCGCGATTGATTTCCCCGTGCCCGAATGCGCTGCAAGAGGCACACATTCCAGGCAGCCGAGATGAACGTAAAAGAGGACAGACAGCTCGCGTTCGGAAGGGACTCTCTCTCTTCCTTCGGCCCTTCACGGGCAACGTTTGGAGGGGATAGGCTCAGGGGGGATGCATCGACCCGAATCGACCCCCGATCGCACATACATCGCCGACAGGTGCCCGAACAAGACCGCGAGGCTTCGTTCGCTATCGGCGGCCAATCTCCGGTCTGCCTCTACCGGCGATGCATCGCCGATCCCGGGTCGACGTTTCCGCCCTGGAGCCGACCCCCCGTGGCGTTGCGCTTCAGCCTTTCGAGACCCCGCTGATTGCCCCCCCCCCGCCCCACCCACCCTCCCCCACCGCCCCCTCCTCCTCCTCCTCCTCCTCCTCCTCCTCCTCCTCCTCCTCCTCCTCCATCTCCTCCTCCTCCTCCCCCTCCTCCTCCATTCCTTTTCCTGATGAATAATTTCGCCCTGTCGCACCCCGAGGCCAGTTTTTTGGGCGGGCCAGGCGTTTCGCCTGAGAATTCCTCACCACTTCTGACTCTGAAGCTTAACACGTGGCAACAGTTTCACAGATGGAGGGCGGGTGGTTTTCAAAATGTGGCTCTCGCCGTAGCGCAGCGCACATTCGTTTTCAAACATTGCAAGGGTTTCACGTATTGAGGGCGGATTGTTTTCAAAATGCGTCTTTCGCTTTAGCGCCGCGCACATACGTTTTCAACATGTGCAAGAGCTTCACGGATTGAGGGCGATTCCTTTTCAAAATGCGTCTTTCGCTTTAGCGCTGCGCACATTCGGTTTTAATATTTGCATGGGTCACCCGCCCTCAAGACGTGACACCCATGATAGGTGCCACTTTTTTTACCATCCAGCGAAGCCCTGCGGCGGAGGATCAGGAAGAGGGGGAGGGGGAGGGACGGCGGGGGGGGGGCGGGGAGGAAGGGCCGGGCGCGCGGAACGCGACCCAGCCGCCAGCACCTAATTAATCAGGTGCGCCTGGGCGGGCGTCCAAGCGAGCCTGGAGGGCGGCCCGCCACGCCGCCTCCGCGCCGCCCGCGCGCGCCGCCGGGAGCAGCAGCAGGCCCGCGGCCCGCGGCGGCAGCGCTGGCGCCCAGCCTCCGCAGCAGTCGGGCGCCCAGCACCCGCACCACATGCAGGCCACCCACCCCGGCCCCTGCGAGGCGACGTGCGCCCGCCAGGCGCGCCCGGCGAAGAGCGCGCGGGCCGCGGCGGCGGGGCTCGGGCGCGGCGCCGCCGGCAGCGCCCGCCTCGCGGCAGCTGTCGCGACGGCAGCGGCGTCGCCCACGCGGGGTTCGCGGCGCCGCGGACCTGGCGCAGCCCACCGGCGCCGGACGCGCGGCGGCGCATGGCCGGAGCTGCCGTGGTTGGCCTTCAGCACCGCCAGCTCGACCTCGGCCAGCATCGCCTGCAGTGTCCGGAGGGCGCGCAGCGTGACCCTGGACTTGCACCAGGGCCGCCGGCGGCAGCCGCGCGGCAGCCGCTTGCCCGGCCAGCCGGTCCGCGGCGGCGTTCCGCCGCGCCGTCTTCGTCGAGGTGGCCCTTGACCCACCGAGCCGACAGGAGCCCGCAGCGGCAGTGGGGCGCGACGAGCTCCCACAGGTCAGAGTGCGCCCACTCCCGCGGCCTGGCGCCCTGCCGGAGCGCCGCAACACCGTCCCGGACGTACTGCGAGTCCGTGACGGCCTCGAGCGGCTGCTGTGCGGCGTGTAGCGCCTGCACGACTGCCGTGAGCTCGGCGCGTTGCGCGGTCTGCGCCCCGTCGACCCCTCCGCAGTGGTCGGTCTGCGCGCCTGCGGCGTCCTCGAGGCGAAAGCCGAAGCCAGCGCGGGCCAGCAACGGGTCCGTCGGGTGCTCACATGCGCCGTCAGTCCAGGCCCGGCACCGGACCGCGTCCTGCGCGGGCGGGAGCGGCGGGAGGAGAGCGGGCGCGGGGGCGCTGGCGCTGGCGGCAGCGGCGAGCGCAGCCAGGCGGGCGTCGAGCGGAAGCACCCCAGTGTGCGCGACCCCCAGCGGCAGGCGGGCCCGCACGGCCGCCGCCGAGTGGCCCCCGGCCACGAGCACCACGCGCCTCGTTTCGGCCTACCGTGGGCAGTCCCAGAAGCGGTGCTGCCGGTCCTCGCGCGCAGCCCCGCAGTGCGGACACCGCGCCGGTTTGCCCCACTTCGCCGCCACGGACTCTGTGACCACGTTGCAAGACAGCACAGCACGCAGCGCCCCGGCTGCGTCCGGGGCTAGAGCGCCCTCCTCCAGCAGCCCGCGAGTGGCCCACCAGTCGACGCCCTCCCGCACGTGCGCGAAATCCGCGCGGCGGCGGGCAGCCAGGCCCCGGGCCTCGCGGCGCGCCCAGGCCTCGAGCAGGACGGCGCGGGTGTCCGGCAGCGGGCGGTCCTCCGGGCACCAGCCTGCCGGCGCGGCGGGCACCCCTGTCCAGACCTCGACGTCGCCCCCCAGCCCGAGCTCCGCCAGGCTGCGGGCCGCGGCAGCCATCGGGCCCGCCCCGCGGCCATGCCCGGCAGCCATCGCCCCGGCTGCCGCGCGCCACAGTGCGGTGGGGAACCTCTGGCGGCGGAGGGCCTTCGCCACCTGCCAAAGCGGCGCGAGGACGACCACGGCGAGGGGGTCCAGCCGCCAACCCGGCGCCAGCGCCCCGAAGACGATCTCCGCGGCCGCGCGAAAGCCGCCCCTGCACACCGCCCGCCGCGCGGCGGTCCGGAGCGCGGCGAGCTCGCGGGCTGGAGGCCGCCCGCAGGAGGCGCCGTACAGGCCGGCCGCAGTGCCCGCGGCAGCGCCCAGGAGGCAGCGTTTGCCGAAGCGCAGCGGCAGCTGTCCGATGCGAGCGAAGCGACCACCAATCACCCCCTGCGCCCGGCCGGCAGCGACCCCGCCGCGGCGACCGCCTCCGGCCTCGGCCGCCCCGGAACCCATTCGGCTTGTAGGCTGGGCGTCTGCTCCGCGAGCCAATGCCGCAACGCTCGGCTACGGTAGGTCTGCGTCGTGTCGACCAGCGGCGACCCCAGCGCGGGCGTTCAAGGTTGAACGCCGCCGGCGACCCAGAATCGGTCGATGTTGAACGATCGGACGTTGCGGCAGCGGCCGATCGTTCAAGGTTGAACGATCCCTTCGGTGTCAAAAACCAACGCTGGGGTCGGCACGACGCGAACCTGCCGTACTTGCAAACTGCCAGCTTTTGCCCCGGTTCAGCCGCCACCCCATTGCCGCCTCGAAGGCGTCCGTGAGACGCAGCGCGTCGCGGACGCTCTCAGCGGCGTCGCCGCCGAGACCGGTATCCACCCTGGCCCGCAGCTTGAAATCGTCCACGTAAATGCGCCGGCAGAGTCTGTCGTCCACCCGGCCCGTGGCGCGCATCCACGGCCGCGTGAGCACGGCCAGGATGAACACGGCGAGGGGGCAACCGGGGAGCAAGCCACGTGTAGGGGTCCAGGCTGCCCCGAGAGCCTTGCCGACGCGGACGCGCCGACGAGCTCCGTATAGGCAGCCAGCGCCGGCCGGGGTAACCAGGCAGGGACACCCGCGCGCGCCAGGAGGCCAGGAAGCGCCTGCAGGTCCACCTGGTCATACGCTTTCCGCCAGTCGAGTGCGGCACTGGCGACCTCCTCCGACAGCGCGTCGGCGGCCTCCAACTCGAGGGCCAGTTCCCAAGCCAGCTCCTCAGCGCCGCGCCGCCAGGAGTCGCCCTCCCAGCTGCGCCGCCACCGAGCGAAAATCCGGGCGCGGCCGGCAGCCCAGACACGATAGAGGACTGGAAGCAACCAGATCGGCCGGCGCTCGAGCGGGCCCTCGCCGCCGCCCGGCTTCGGCAAGAGCAGGTCTTCCGCTTCCACCAGCTCCCGAGGCCATCCGCCCACCGCCTCCACCGCCTCGAACATTTGGGCGATCCATCCGCACAGCTGCGCCGGCAGCAGCCTGAGCTCGGAGACTGTCCACGCGTCGAGGCCAGGCTTTTTGCGCCTCGGCATCTTCCGCAAGAGCCAGCTCACGACGTCCCCCGTCCAGGGGGTCCGGTCAGGGACAGGCGGCAGGCCGTCTAACTCCTGTTGCCACGCCTCCGGCACTGCCGCCGACGCCGGCTGCTGCCAGAGAGCGCGCCAGGGGCCCTCAAAGTAGCGCAACCGCGCGGCGGGGCCTCCCTGCAGAGCTAGGGCCCAAGTCCTGTGACCTAGGATCGGCGCCGTCGCCGCGGCGGCCCCAGCAGCAGGCGGCGCCGGCACGAGCTCGGCCTCCAGCGTCCCGCCTCCGCGGATCCATCGGTACAGGCGCCCTTGGCTGTTGGCCATGGCGTCCTGTGCCCAGCGTCGCCACTCGCCCCGCCTCCGCCGCCTGGCAGCGTCCTGAGCCTGCCGCCAATCAGCCTCAGCACGATCGATCACATGAGCCGGAAACGTGCCCCCCGGCGTGAGTGCCGACAGCATGGCCGCCCAGGCGGGGTTGCCAGAGTCCGCCGTGCGCAGCGCGCGGAGGGTGGCGCAGGCGGCCAGCGCTGCTTCGGGGGAGGTGCGGCCGTGCGCATGTTGGAGGCTGCGGAGCCGCCAGAGTCGCAGCAATGCCGCGTCGGCAGCTGCGTCGGCAGCGTCACCTCCGCCTCCGCGCGCCTTGGGGCGTTCCGACATCCAGGCAGCCGCCGCGTGAGGCCGCGCCACGACCGCCGGCCTGCCGAGGCGAGCCGAGAGCCAGGTCCGCATCGCCAGGCTGAGGACCTCCCACGCGCCATCGAGGTCCTGCCGGTCGAGCGCCTGCTGGAAAGCCCCACCGTGCGCTGCCTGGATGGCCACGGCCATGTCGCGGGCACACTGCGGGGTCCAGCCGTCGGCGGGGGGGCCATCCAAGGGCGGCACAGATTGGCGGATCAGCGCAGGCTCGGGGCTGCCCACCTTGATCGTCATCAACAGCGCCGCGTGCGTGGCCAAGCCGAGGTCCCATCGGAGCCCGACGGTCTCGACGATGTCCTGCGCCGCCGGGTTGCCCAGCACGTAGTCGATGCGCGATGGGGCCTTCTGCGAGGGGATGCACGTCGGGCCCGCTGCGGCGAGCAGATCCCGCCATCCCGCCATCGCCAGCAGCCCATCAAGCCCCGAGGAGGCCAGCTGGCAGTTCAGGTCCCCGACCACGAACGCTGGGACATCTCCCAGTCCGCGGACCCACTCCACAGCCTCCAGGATGAGGTCGGCGTTCCGCTCCGTGTCAGGGGGCCCCCCGCGTAGCCGTAGCAATTCATAAAATGCACGGCCCGGGATGCCCCGAGGTGCAGCACGAAGTGCTGCAAGCGGCCGGGGTGCCTGCCTGAAAGCCCCAGCGGCGGCTCGGAGCGCGCCGCCACGCCGCTCCCAGCGCGGTGGGCCGCCGCCAGCAGGTGCATCCCGTCGCAGGCGGGCCCCGGGTGCAGCTGCATACCACGACCTTGGGCTGCAGCCGCCGCCGACGAAGCGTCCGCGGCTGGTGTGGCTCTCGCCTCAGCGCCGCGCCCATTCGTTTTTCAACATTTGGAAGAGCTTAACGGACTGAGGGCGGTTCCTTTTCAGAATGTGGCTCTCGCTTCAGCGCCACGCACATTCATTTTCTACATGTGCAACGGTTTCACGGATTTCGTGTTTCGGAAGGATTCAGGATTATGCAGGTGCAACAGTTATGTTGATTCGCGGTGTTGAAGTCCCCAAATTGGCTCTCTGGCACGATTCCAGATCGTCAACACGCAGCAGTCAAGTTGATCCGTGGCGTTGAAATCCCGAGAAGAATGTGTTCGCATGCTTCAGGGTCTTCAGTCGGTCGTCTTCCAACGAGGCAGTTCCCTCAATGGAAATGAACCGTTGGAAGGGCCTATGAATAGGGAGCTTGGAAGGAGGGTTAATTCCCACATCGTTGATTTTTCTGTGGTTTACACGGGTCCTACTCCTGCTCCTCCTCCTCCTCTTCCTCCTCCTCCTCCTCCTCCATCCTCCCTCCTCCTCTCCTCCTCCTCCTCTCCTCCCTCCTCCTCCTCCTTCTCTTCCTCCTCCTCCTCCTCCTCCTCCTCCTCCTCCTCCTCCTCCTCCTACCCTCCTCCTCCTCCTCCTCCCTCCTCCTCCTCCTCCTCCTCCTCCTCTCCTCCTCCTCCCCCCCTTCCCCCTCCCCCACCGCCCCGCCTGCAGGGCCCCCAGGCCCCGCCCGGCCGCCCCCGTGGTAACAGGCAGTCAGGCGGGGCTGTGAAAAGGACGAATCGTCCCCAGGGCGTTCCCGGGCTCTGCATTTCCAGAGCGCTCTGAGAAGGCCGCGGCGCCCGATACCTCCTCCTGAACCGCCGGGTCTCATAGTTTTGCGGTGCTCACGTTGCATCTTCGGGGGGCCTCGCCTGTCCCCAGAATTGGTCTCTTTTCGTATGCCCGATGCGACCTTGATCCAGATTTGGCGTGGGTTCGACGCGGATTAGACATGGATTCGACACGGATCCGACGAGTCCGACATGGATTCGACACGGATTCGACGCGGATAGGTGCGCGACGGGACAGACAAGGCCCCCCGAGGATGCAACACAAACGATGCGTCCCCGTCCGATGCTGTCCATGTCCTGGCCTCGCGCCTCCGTCGGTTACGATAAGAGTGACCCTTCGCCAGAGAGACTTTTGGTGCGGGCCCCATGGGGGCCCCCCCGATCGCTGAGTGCAATGCGACAGCAACAGCTTGCGCGCCTGGCGTTGTTCCCGAGGGGCCTCGTCCTCGGCCTCCTCGTCCTCGGCCTCCTCGCCGCCTCGTCCTCCTCGTCCTCCTCGTCCTCCTCATTATTCCTTGTCCTCCTCGTCCTCCTTGTTATCTCCTAGTCTTCAGCGTCCTTCTCCACCTCCACGCCCTCCTCGTGCTCCGTCTCGTCCTCCTCGTTCTCCCCCTCGGCCGCGCACGACGGGCCCCTCTTTGCCTGCGGGGCCACTCTGGCGTGCAGCCGACCCAGGCAGCGGCGGCACGTCGCGCCCATCTTCGGCCTGCCCTTCTGCGGCAAGTCGCACATCGCCCGGGAGCTGAAGAGGCGGCCCGCGCCGGCCTGCTCCCACCGCCCCTTGGCGTCGAGAGGACGGGCTTTCAGGTCGAGGCATCGAGGCCTTTCGAGCGTCCCCTGAGGTCCTGGCGCCCCAATGTAGACTAGACGTAAGAGTGGCCTTTCGCCGGAGTGACCTTCGGTGCGGGCCCAATGGGGTCCCCGATTGCCGAAAGCGATGCGGAAGTGGCGTCTTGCGTCTTGCGCGCTCGTGTTTGGTCCCCCCGCGGCCCCCAAAAAGCCGCGCACCAAAGGTCACTCTCACCCAGGGTCACTGTTGCGAGTAATCGACAATGTTTTCGAGCCAGGTGTTCTCGCCCTGACGTTTCGGGCCCCGGAGCCCTCGCAGATCGATCTGGCTCGAGGAATTGCGCACGGCCACTGGGCCGAGGGTTCCGGACGCGATGTTCACTATGTTGCAGTTTTTTTCGCGTCGTCGGATCTGAGGGTCGGGGGCGTCCAAGAGGGGGTGGGGGAGGATGGTATTGATATCATGGCCGGGGCCATGAAACAGGGGGGTGACTAGGATGGTATGGATATCATGGTCAGGGCCATAATATAGGGGGGGGGACTAGGATGGTATGGAGCTCATGGCCGGGGCCATGATATTTCGCAGGTTTCTTCCCCCTTCTTCCTCTTTCAAGACGTCCCCTGGTCCCCCCTCGTCCGCGCACATGCCTCGGGCCATGATTTGCGACCTCCCCCACTCTTGGGCGCACCTCCGTAGATGGGGTTCGAGGATCGCGCCGCATCGCTGATGCATCGCCGATGTGACTCGATGTGGAGCCCATGTTCTCCGCGCTAGCGCCAACAATGCACCGCCAACGTCGCTTATGTACTGCCGATGTATCGCCGATGCATCGGCGATGTGATGCGATCCTCCGACCCCGTCTACTCGGACTCCATCTTGGAGGCCTCCTACTAAAGAAGAAACACGGCATAAGCATGAACGCTTGGCCTTCCGCGCGGAGCGCCATACGTCTATGTTTATGCATCCTGTTCTTCTGCTATTGAAAGGGGGGGGGAAAAGGAGGTTTTCTTTGGAGGTGTTCTCGCCTGGGGCTGCGCCCCCTCCCTCCCCAGGCGCCCAGACGGCGGTCCCGAGCGGCCAAAGGACGCCCGAGTTCTATGGCTCGAAAGCCACCCAAGTCGTTGAGGAGGGGAGTGCGAACCGGGGGTGGTCATCACCTCTGTGGCCATGGGGCCATGACGTCTCTATGGCAGGTTCGTGAGCGTTGGCACGCCGGCGACGCCGGCGGAGGCGTCCAAGGTTGAAGTTCGTGACGCGGGAGCACCAGGGAACACGGTAGCACCATTGGACCCGACGGCATTCAACCTTGAGCGATCGGAGCCGCGATCCATTCAAGGCTGAACGATCGACGCGGGGCCATGACTCGACGAAGAAAAAACGCCACAACTAGAAACTTTTGCTGCTCCGCGCGGATTTCTTGGATTCTCGCTGGACCCCCAGGCGGCGCCTCCGGCGCCGCCCCTGGCGCGCTCCGCGCGGTAGGTTTGCTAGCGTTGGCGCGCTGGCGTCGCCCGCGGAGGCGTTCAAGGTTTAAGTCTGTGACGCGGGAGCACTGGGGGATACGGTAGCGCCACTGGACCCGACGGAATTCGAGCGATCGGGGCCGCGATCGATGCAGGGCTGAACGAGCGACGCGGTGTCAAAAACCTTGGCGCGCGCCAGCGCCTCACGATCTCTCTTCTCTCAGCACGCTCCCCCCCGCCCCCCCCCGTCTGCGCACCTGCCTTGGGCCATGATGCGCCGACCTGCCTCTTGGGCCCCCCCTCTTCTCGGGTCGGGGGTTCCGTGGCCGTTTTGGCTCCAGCTGCAGAGGCGCCCGGCGCGAGCGGGGGCGCCCGCCCGAGGTCGGTGAAACACTTCCACGAAAAGACGCGGCGCCCTGGTCGCGATGGCGTTCAAGTGTCAGAGGTGGACGCTGGCCAACGCACTGCCAGTGATCTTCGTGCTGTGGATCATCACGACGATCTACGGGGCCCACGCGTGGCTGCACCTGCGGCCCCTGCGGGAGCGCGACCCGCGCTCCTTCTACGTCGAGGCCGCCGCCTCGAACACGCTCACGGCCCTGCTGTTGGTATGCCTCGGCAGGGCCATGCTCACGGACCCCGGGTCCGTGCCAGACGTGCCCGAGTGGCGGGACGCGCAGGGTGGCGTCTGGGGTTCCTGGCAGGGCGCGCGCGGCGGCCCGGTAAGCAGGGATCAGACGGGCGAGGACGGCTCGGTGGTGCACGAGGTCAAGCAGACCGGCGGGCGCCGCTTCTGTAAGTGGTGCGACAGCTACAAGCCCGACCGCTGCCACCACTGCCGGGTGTGCAAGTCGTGCATCCTGCGCATGGACCACCACTGCCCGTGGATCGCCAATTGCGTCGGCTTCAGGAACCACAAGTATTTTTTCCTGCTTGTTCTGTATTCCTTCATGAGCTGTGCCTTCATCTTCGCGACCATGTCTCAGTCCCTCGTGCGGTCCCTGAGCCTCGAGTACCGCTCCTCCAGGGAGCGTTTTTGGATGGTCTTCGGCCTCACGCTGGCGTGCATCATGGCGCTGCTTCTGAAGGCCTTCCTCAGCCTGCACATCTGGCTGATGCTGAAGGCCACGACCACCATCGAGCTGTGCGAGAAGCGATCGCGGCAGGGCTGCGCCAAGCCGCTCCCCAGCTACGAGCAGGGCACCTACGAGAACCTACGCGCCGTGCTGGGGCCCAACCCGCTGCTCTGGCTGCTGCCCGTGGCGCCCCCCGCCGGCGACGGCCTGTGCTTCCCCGTGCGCGAGGCCCGCGCCCACGCGGCCAGGGGCGCGGACGCGGACGCCGCGGCGGGCGCTCCCGCCGGCGCGGCGGGGGGCAGCGGCGCGCTGCTGGGCCCCGAGGCGGAGACGGACGCCCCCCCGGCGCAGGGCGAGGAGTCCCCGGTCGCTGGGTGAGCGCCGGCGGGGCCGGCCGCCCCCTCCGCTCCCGCGCCCTCCCGCCGCGGCCTCCGCTGCTCCTCCCCGCCTTCCTCGACTCGCGCGCGGGTGGCTGGCAACAGGGCTGAACCTGAACGGTTTCTTTTTGCTGTCGTTCTCCCTCGTTTTGTCTCCCGTCCACTTCTACCAAGAAACGAAGCCGAAGCGAAAGCGGCCCACGACATCGCCAAAACATCGTTTAGGTCCAGCCCTGCTTGGCACGCCGACGCGCCAGCTGCCTCCACTTACCCTGCGTGCCCGCGGGCGTGCGCGCGGGCCTTGGGCCCGCCCCGCGGCGCCTTCGGGATGCGCCCGGGCCCGTGCGGGGCGGGCTGCCACAGAGAACAATATCCGCGGGTTGGACGAAGAGGGGGGAGGGTCGGACTGGGCTATACATATATATATATATATATATATATATTTATTTATACACGTAGCACCCCGCAATTGCGGATAAGAGTGAGGGGGCGGGCGCGGGCGACGCGGGCGTCGTCGAGCCGGCGGACCTCGTGGCCCCCACCTTCCCTGTCGATGGCGCTCTCCTCCTCCTCCTCCTCCTCCTCCTCCTCCTCCTCCTCCTCCTCTCCTCCTCGTCCTCGTCCTCGTCGTCATCGTCATCGTCATCCTCCTCCTCCACCTCGTCCTCCTCCTCCTCCTTTCTTCCTCGTCCTCCCTCTCCCCCCCTCGTCCTTCCATCATCGTCCTCCCATTGTCGTCCTCCCCCTCATCGGCCTCCATCATCGTCCTCCCATTGTCGTCCATCATCATCATCATCATCATCATCATCATCATCTCATCATCATCATCATCATCATCCATCATCCTCCTCCTCCCCCTCCTCCTCCTCGTCCTCCTCCTCCCCCTCCTCCCCCTCCTCGTCCTCCTGCTGCTCCTCCTCCTCCTCTTTCTCCACATTCTCCTTACATCCTCTCTTCTTTCGCGTCCTCCTCGTCCCCTGTTTACTCCTCCTGCCTCCCCCTCCTTTCCCAAGATAACGGCAACGCAATCCTTTTTCCACTTTATGCTCCCCGACTTCTCTGATCAAGGCAACTCGCCAGGGCAAAGTTGCTGGACGGGCTGGTGTGGATGCGCGGGGCTTGAAGAGGTCGTTGCGGGCTCAGGCGGCATGCAAAAATCCGCCGCCGCGCTTGTGCGGCATTGGTTTGTTCAATGAACGTGGTTTGGGTCGCGGGTGGGTCGCGGGCTCTCCACCTCCACCTGAAAGGAATGCAAAAGCAGCCCGCTGCAGGCGCCGAAAAAAATGGTTTGTACACTGAACGTGGAATGGGTCGCGGGTGGGCCGCGGGTTCTCCACCTGAAACGAATGGAAAAGATGCCCGCCGCAGGCGCCGAACAATTTGGTTTTTACCCTGAACGTGGTCGCGGGTGGGCCGCGGGCTCTCCACCTGAAACGAATGGAAAAGATGCCCGCCGCAGGCGCCGAAAAATGTGGTTCGTACCCTGAACGTGGTTTGGGTCGCGGGTGGGGTCGCGGGCTCTCCACCTGGAAGGAATGCAAGAACAGCCCGCCGCAGGCGCCGAAAATTGTGGTTTGTACCTTGAACGTGGCTTGGGTCGAAGGTGGGCCGCGGGGTGAGTCGCGGGGTTGGTCGCGGGTGGGTCGCGGGTGGGTCGCGGGTGGGTCGCGGGTGGGTCGCGGGTGGGCCGCGGGGCGGGTCGCGGGGTGGGTCGCGGGTGGGTCGCGGGGTCGTGGTGGGTCGCGGGGTGGGTCGCGGGTGGGTCGCGGGTGGGTCTCGGGTGGGTCGCGGGTGGGTCGCGGGGTGGGTCGCGAGGTGGGTCGCGGGTGGGTCGCGGGTGGGTCGCAGGTGGGTCGCGGGGTGGGTCGCGGGTGGGGTCGCGGGTGGGTCGCGGGGCGGGTTGCAACAACAACAACAACAACAACAACAACAACAACAACACCAACAACAGCAACAGCAACAGCAACAAACATCATCAACCAACAACATCAACAAACAATAACAACACCAACAACAACACCAACAACAACACAAACAACAACAACAACAACACCAACAACAACAACAACACCAACAACAACAACACCAACAACAACAACACCAACAACAACAACACAAACAACAACAACAACAACAACAACAACAACAACAACAACAACAACAACAACAACAACAACAACAACAACAACAACGACAACAACAACAACAACAACAATTACTAGCACGTGGGGACACTCCGTTCTCACCAGTGCCAGGGTTTTCATAGGAGGCGGGCAATACCCCCACTTTGTGGGGGGGCCGGTTCAAGCTCTACCAAATTTCCAAACGACTCTTCGCCACCACCCACACCCAGCTTCCCGCCCTATGACGTTCGGACACTTCACTTCGTGGCATGCGGACGACCGTGGCTACTATTCAGGGCCCCGCGGCCGACGACGACGGCGTGCGCGCGCGAAGAAAAAACGAATGTGTCCCGCATGGTATTATTTGACAGGGATGATGGCCCTGGCAGGTGCGCAACCGTTGTTGCAGAAGTTTGAAAAAGTTGCTCGCAAAAGCCCGTTTGACTGAAATGTTGAAAAAGTGTTGGGTTTCCTACGAATCCGCAAGAGCGCGCGGGATGACATTTTGACATTTTTTTGGGAAAACCATTGGTTTTTTGATGTTTTTATGTTAAAATCGCTTCGAAAACAAAGGTTTTGGAAGGATTTCGTCTTGCGCGCGCGAATGTCCACTTTACTTGGTTTTCTGCAAGGGATTATTGAAATTTGGTTATGTTAGAACAAGGAATGTCCACTTCAGCTTTTTTTTTTGCAAGGGAAAACCGCCCGTAACAAAACAACCGGATCCGGACCAACCCGTTTTGCCTGAGACTTCCTCACGAAAATGATGAAAACGTGGCTGCGGCCTAGGCGCGGCGGGGGGGTCGTGCACCAGGGGTCCCAACAATAATTATTATTTTGAAGTAATAATGTTCAACAACAACAACAACACCAGCAGCAGCAGCAACAACAACAACAACAACACCACCAACAACAACAACAACAACAACGATAATCCGCACCGCGGAATCCCACTTCAGCCACGCACCCAGGGACAGTGAATGACCGTTCGGCCCCCTCACTCTGATATACATATTTATATATATATAGGACGAGGATCAGCTAGTTCCAGAGCGTTCTGGAACGCCCCTGGCGTGTTCATCCGGGGGCCCTCAACGGGCCCCGGGGCCGTCAAGAACGACTCGGGACGAGAAGCCGGTCCACGCCGTGAAAAGATCACGGCGTTGGGGGGTCTGGGGAGGAGCATGCTGGCTCCTCCCGGACGGGGCTAGGACGAGGATAAATCCGTTCCAGAGTTTTTCCGGAACGCCCTCCAGAATGCTTTGAGAAGGCCGCGGCGCCCGGGACATTTTCCAGGAGGGGAAAAACACAGACACAATTAATCGACGATTCCTAGGAAAATATAAGAAAATATGGGAAGTGGGGGGGAAGGCAAAAACCCAGAACATATGCGAAAATATGGGGAATATTTTGATTTGTGTGAATTTATTTTTGTGTCCTGGGGCCCCTTCAATCCTCCAGAGCCGCCGGATCTGAGAGATTCTCGATTCTGTCTTCACCCGATGTTATCCTCGTCCCGGCTTCGTCTCAGAAGCGGGGGCGGCCCAACCGATCCCTAGCAAACCACTGCCTTCCATGACGCCCCCCTCGCCTCGCCCCAGGGCTGATGTATGCGGCCGGAGGCGAGCTCGAAAGGCGAGAACGAGGTCACGGACGGGAAGGTTTGCTCTGGTAGCAGCTCATAGGGGCCGTGTGTACCCTCGCAATGCTGCCTTGAGCGTCGATTAGCGTCTACGTTCGGCTTCTTCCTGTCTTGCCCAGCCGATGAGATAGCGCCACCGTCGACTAGCGTCGATTTAGCGTCGATTGGCGTCGATTCAGCGTCGACGAGCGTCGATTCGCAAGAGCCAAAAGATGGTATGGTAGGCTCCCATGAGTTGCCATCGGAGTTTGGCAGGAGTCGATTTTCGGGTTGACCCAAACGGGTGTCCAGCGACAAGGGGGTGGTGTAATAGACTTGGTGCAATAGATTTGCGCGGTTGCACTACATTCGGGGCGTGCGATACATAGATTTCGGGGCACAAATGTATTGCTGTATTTTCGCGTGCCCTGCATCACTTGCAAGACAGTGCAACACAATTCTCCGGCGCAGTAGACTTGCAATACATGCAACTGCCCCAAATCACTTGCACCACCCCCTTCCAGCTGGACCCCCTTGTGGGTCACCCAAAGGCTTGGCCGCCCGCCCGAGCGACGAACTCTTCCGAACGCGGCCTTTTGCGGCCCCCGCCTCCGGGCGCCTCTCCTCGGCACGCTGGCGCCGGGAGGTGCGAGGGAGAGGCCTGCTGTGCGAGCTTCGACTGACTACACGTAAGAGTGACCCTTCGCCGGAGTGACCTTTGGTGCGGGCTCATCGGGCTCCCCCGATCGCCGAGCACGATGCGATATAAGCGGCCCACGCCCTTGGGTTTGGCTCCCTCGCGCTCCCAAAAGCTGCGCACCAAAGGTCACTCTTACCCAGGGTCACTCTTAGAGTCTAGCCGAGAGCTGATTCAACCCCCCCCTTTTGGATGCTCGCTCTGGGGCCCTTCAGTCATGGAGAGCCAAAGGGCCCCGAAGCCCCACAACACCGTGAAGGCGTGACCTCACTGATGTCCTCGTCTTCACAACATTGGGGATACTGAATCTGGGCGGTTTGGCCCGGTATATCTGCAGGACAGACCCCTCTGCCCTGATGTTTCTGGTCCTCCTAACTTAGGTCCCCTCCCAAGGGGTGAGAGGTTCTTTCTTGGTCAATCAATCAAGGGGACCACAGGATCTGGTAGATGCTGGGTTGACTCAAGTTCGACTCAAGTTACGCTCGAGTCGACGGGCGTTCGGCGCAGTTTCGGCGCATGAGTGGAGCGAGTGGCTCAGGGAAGGCTCTCGTGATGAGCACCTGACGGCCTTTCCTTCGGGGGCAATGTTAGGGGGGGGATCGGCTCAGAGGGGGGCTGCATCGACCCCCAATCGCCCATGCATCGCCGATAGGGGCCTGACACCACACCCCGCCCAGGACCATGCAGATTCGCTATCGGGGGCCTATCGCCGATCACGGCGACGTATCGCCAAGTCAAGCTCGATGCCCACCCTGCGTTGGCCCTCCCCCACCGCACCCCGCCCAGGACCGTGCGGATTCGCTGTCGGGGCCTATCACCGATCAGTCGGCGATGTATCGCCGATTCAAGCTCGAGCTCCTCCCCAATGAGCCGGCCCTCCCCATACGTTGCCCCATCCGCTGTGTTTCCAGCAGGGCGGAAGTACCCGCACTACTTTTCGAGCTTCTTTGATGCCGATCTCCCCCCTACTCTGCCGTCGCTGCGTCTGCCATACCTCTGCGCACATGTCTGCCATGCTTTTGGAGAGGCGGCGCCTCCCCAAAAAGTGCCCTGCTGGCCTCCCGGGTGCATTGGGGTTTCTTGGGTTTCCATGGTTCTGCGATGGAAGTCGTGACTTCCCCACGCCAAAACACGATGGATCTCCTCGGGGCTCAGGGTTGGTTTCGTGGGGAAGGTTTTTTTGTGGTCGACCTCCTACTGCAATCCGAGGAGACAAACGGACCACCGTCACCGAGGCACCCATCGGGGCCAGACCTCCCTGGGAGGTGGCACGCCCAAGCGTCCTGTGCTGGGTGACGCTCGGGCGTGCCACCGCCCATGGGTCGGCCTCCTCCTCCTCCTCCTCATCCTCCTCCTCCTCCTCCTTCCCCTCCTTCTCGTCCTCCTCCTCCTCCTCCTCCTCCTTCTCCTTCTCCTCCTCCTCCTCCACCTCCTCCTCCCCCCCCTCCCCTTCCCGATGTGCTCTCGGTGGCGGTGGTCGACGCGCCTCTTCTGACACTCAGCAGCGCCCAGCCCGATCCCCTCCCCGCCCGCCGGTGGCCGGCGTGGCCTCGACGAGGCGGCCGCGTCTGCGCGCGCGTGTGCGCGGCCGCTTGCGCTGCGGGCGGCCCCCGCGGACGCGCTCGGGGCTCCTGGGCGCTCCGCGGATGGCATGTATGCACCGTGCCGCGTTGGCGCCTCTCGAGGCGTCGTCGATCCTCGACCCAGGAATGGTAAAGTGCATAGAATTCTGGCCCCCAGAGCCGAACAAACTATTCACCGTACCGCGTTGGAGCGGGGCCTGAACGGAGTCCAGGCATGGTACGGTGCATGGGCGCCGTTCTCGTAGGCGCTCCTCCAATCGGCCCGCCCGGCCAGACAGATCTTCCGGGACCCTCCGGCTATAATTAATTAGGATTTGTTTCGAGCTCGCCGGGGGGAAGCGGGTCCCGAGGTTTTTGCCGCCGCTCTCGGGCTCTCGCCGGGCATAGCCAGGACCCCAGGTAAGGGGACCCGGTTAGCGGGAGGGCCCCGGAGCCTTTAAATTGGCCAGAATCACTAAGCCAGGTCTGCCGTAGTTGGTGTTTTTTTTAGTGACGCCAGTTTTGGTTAGTGTAACGGGACGGGCGGTGCGTCCCCCAATACACATCACTAAACCAAGTCCCACTTCTCTGCGAGATTCCCCACGTGCAGACCGAGGCGCGAGCTTACACCACTCTGCTTCTGCACGAGCGAAATTTGCACGAAAAGAATGGGTACAATGCTCAGCAGCAGTTTCTGTTCATTGTGAACAGGACTCGCTGTCCGCGCCGCCGCGGCCTGTGTCCGTTTGATACAGAAGGCCGCTTGCCCAACAGCGGCCGCAGTCGGTTTTGGACAACATTTGCTGTTGGGCATTGTACCCATGTTCTCCGTACCCATCTCGGGCGTCCAAACTGCTGGCCCAAGCTCGAGACCAGGCGCAGGGCCTTCTTTTTGCCGCCGGCTGTCTCGCTGCCTGCTCCGCACGCCTCGCTCGGGGAGGCCCCGGCAGCCGATCGGCAGGCATCATGCCGCGAGAGCAGGACCGCGAGAAGGACCGACGCTCCAACATGGCGCACTCCACGGTGCACGGGCGACGAGATCTGTCCATGGCCACGGCCCTTGGCCAGACCCAGCCTGGGCCCAGGAGCGGTGTGGTGCACACTGTCTCCCCGGCCCAGCCGGGCAGGCGTGCATACCTCGCTCGTGGCCCCAGGGCTGGCCCTGTCAGGAGCCAAAGGGTGGTGGGGGTCCTCTTGTGGCCACTCGTCATAGGTGAACGCCCCAGCCAAGAAGAGCGGCGGCGGCGGGGGCTTCACCTGGGGCAGGGCCGGCGAGGGCGACTACGAGCCCGTCGGCCTGCAGGACGTCTCCAAGGTGAGCGCGGGGCCGCGGGCACCGCCGGCCCCGGGCGCGCCCGCCGCGCCGCCGCCCGCCGGGCCGAGCGGGCTGGACGGAGCAGACTTCCCGGCGCTGGGGGCGGGCGGGGCGGCACCGCAGGTCAGAGTCGGGGGCGAGGACGGGGGGCGAACAGCCCAGGGGAGAACGATACGCGTGTCCAGTGGCGCCGACGGTCCATGCCTCCGGCGAGGCTCCCAGGCGAATGCGTGTAATGCCCGCCCCTGGGCTATTCGCCCCTATCGTCGCCCCCTAGGAGGAGGAACGTCGAAGAAAAATCAACGGCGGTAAACTTCAACTTTTGGCGCGCCGCGCGGATTTCTTGGTTCTGCGCTGGGCCCCCGCTTGCGGCGCCTCCGGCGCCGCCCCGGGCGCGCTCCGCGCGCGAGGGAGGGGGATCTAGCGCCAAGAAATCCGCGCGGAGCGCCAAAAGAATGTGTTTGTGCCGTTCTTCCTTGTTTCCAGAAAGTACCGACGCCGCTGCCCTCGCCTTGGGATGCTTTCCAGCAGCTGCGCCTCGTCGCGAGCTCTCCTGGGGGGCGCCAGGATCGTGCCGAGCGGCCGCGTAGGAGACCCGAGCTGCGACCCGAACGCCACCGCAGAGGAGGAAACGGTGCCGCTGCCAGTCGCTTTCCCTCTGTTCCGTCCTCTTGGGCCTTATGGGAGACCTTCTTGGCCCACAGCTGGGTTCGCCTCGAGCTTCTCGTCAGACCGCTCCCCAGGAGAGATCCAAGGAGTACGGTGGGGGCGTTCGTTAAGGAATGCACCCGCGAGGCTTCAGACCCTGGGGGAGCCCCTATCTGATGAGGGCGGCGGTCATACCCATAGCCCATCCACGATTGAAGCTCCACCGGCCATCAGACCCTGGAGTCCTTCTGCGACGGTTCCTGATCTAATGCCCTCACCGTATCGGTGCCGGCACCTCTTGGTCCCCCCGATCTAGGAGGCAATCTGGCCACGGCCAGCACGCCCGGCGGAGGACGGCCGCACCTACTACATCTTCGGGTCCCCGGTGGGGATGTCTCCGTCGCCAGACATCCACAACCCCGGCTTTGCCAAGAACGGGTTCCCGCACACCTACGAGAGGTTCTCAGCCACGTGCCGAGGGGGGCTGGGGGAGGGGGGAAGGCTTCTCAGAAGCACCGCTGCTTCTCAGAAGAGGCGGGCCGTGTCTGTAGATGTCAGGCGGGCGCCTTCGAAGAATCAGCGTCCTTCGAAGAAGCCTTCCCCCCTACCCCCACCCCCTTGTGCGCGCCGCCAAGGTTCGACAGCCCAGACATTGCCGACGTCATGAGGGCGCTTCGGGCGCACAAGTGTGGGGGCGGCTCTGTCACGATCCCGCACAAGGAGGCGGTGCTGAAGGAGATGGACGAGCTGGGCGATGCTGCACGCAGCATCGGCGCCGTGAACACGGTGACCAAGCTGCCCAACGGACGGTTCTCGGAGATGAGAGCAGCATCAGCGCGACTGTCCAGAGGTCCGCGCGGATCCCTCGGAGCGGTGCTGGAGGCCCCTGACGGCGCCTCCAGCTGGGCAGCCCCCGGTGCGCTCCGCCAGCCGGGGAGCCCCCTGGTGCCCTCCGCGCGCCGTGGCGGAGGGTTCTGCAGCGATCCGAGAGATGCGCGCGGACCTCCGAGATTCCGATGCTCATTCTGTGACTCACCACCCGACAGGTTGGGTGTGTTAGCCTTCGGGAAAGATGATATTTGTTTACCACAAGTGCAATATGCCTTGAGAATGCACAGGTTCAACAACCCCAAAAGATTAGTCCTTTGGAAAATTTACTCGGATTTCCACCAAGGGAACCTAATTCGATTCCTACTAGAGCTCCCGATCCGCCTCGCACCCTCTGCATACCGCGGCCGACGGGCCCAGGCTGTGCCGTTTCGCTCCGTGGCTATCCCGCCTCGCGCCTTCGACGAGCGACGGTTGCATCAGCGCGGCCGCCAGGGCCAACGTGTGCTAGTGCTGGTTGGGGATTCCGCCTCGCGTTCTCGGGTGGGGATCGGTCGAAGCAAGATCGATCGCAGAGTCGGAGCTGAGGGGTTCCCCTGTCGCTGGTTTTCGGGTCAGGGCTCGGGTCTTCGACGGACGTTTGACATTTTCGGGGCAGTCTCCGAATTCCCTCGGCGAGGCGCAGCCGCTTGAGAGCATCCCGAGGCGAGAGGGTACAGTAATGCATGTCGCTCGAAGCAGCCCGGACATGCGATGCCCGGAATTGTTCCATACGGCCCCCCCGGACATCCCGACCCTTCTCCCAGGGCTGGACCTACACGCTGTGTTGCTGGACTTCGGCTGTGTTTTGTTCTTCGTTTTGGGGAGGGGGGTGCAGGAGAACGAGCAGAGCAGAACGAACGACGTAACGAGAACATGACGAACAACAGCGTTTAGGTCCAGCCCTGCCTTGCCCCGGGGCCGAGTTTTGCATCCCGCGGCGTTTTGTCGACGGTCCCAGGGGCCCGGCGAGGGGCCCCGGAGGCCGAAAGTTGTCAAGACCTTTTCGCCGTGGGCTCTTCCACGGCGCGAGCCTTTGGCGGCGAGCGAGGGAGGAGAAGGAGGAGGAGGAGGACGAGGAGGAGGAGAAAGAGGAGGAGGAGGAGGAGGAGGAGGAGGAGGAGGAGGAGACCTTCTCAGAAGGCCCGGGGATTTCTGATAAGCGAGGGGGGAGAAGGCGGAGGAGGAGGAGGTGGAGGAGAAGGAGGAGGAGGAGGAGGAGGAGGAGGAGGAGACCTTCTCAGAAGGCCGCGCGATTTCTCGGAAGCCCTCGGGCCTTCGGGGAGGTCTTCGGTGTCCTGGGGGAAAGCTCAGAAGACTTCTCAGAAGGCCGGGAAACTTCTGAGCCTTCTGAGAAGGCCCGCCCCTTCTCTCACTTCCCCCCCCTGGGCGCGCCGCCTAAGCATGTCTGGGGAAATCCGTTCTTTTTCCAGGCTCCGGGGCGACAACACGGACTGGCTGGGCATCAAGAACCTGGTCGAGGCCCGCCTCGCAGCCGCGCCGAAGAGGCGCTCGGAGAGGCTCACGTGCCTGCTGTGCGGCGCTGGCGGGACGGCGCGCGCGGCGGCCTACGCGTTCCAGCAGATGGGCGCGGGCGAGGTTCCGAGAATCGCCACAAAGCCTGTGGTTGATGTTCATTCCTTGGCTTCCCTGGCCATGGTCGGGCCCTCCTCCCACCTTGTCCTCCTCGTCTTCCTCCTCCTCCTCATCCTCCTCTTCCTCCTCCTCCTCCTTCCTTTTGTTTGTCGCTTGCCCTCGCCATCACGCTCAGCGCACGTTGCCTGTCCTCCATAGCTTCGCTGCGAGCCCGTGCGCGCCGAGGGGTGCTCTGGCGCCTGCTTGGCCGGATGGTGCCGTCGGCAGAGGTGGGCCGGGCCTTTGTTTCCCGACGACGGTTTTCTCCAGGCGAGGCTCGACAGCTGCCTCCCCTCGCCGTGGAGGGTTGGACGCTCGGAGGAAACAACCTTGTCTGGCTTCCTGGGTTCCTCTAACCGAGTACGGGCGATAAAAAAGCCTTCCCCCCCCCTTTCCCCCCTCTATTTTTTGAATGCCCGTTCGGCAGGCTTTAAGCGTGGAGATGGGCGCGGAGGCCAACAAATTTTGATTATCCCCGCCAGACCCCCGAACTTTATTATCTCCGGGGTATTATGATCGCTCATAGTCGGTTGCGGGTCCCCAGAATGTCCCGAAACGGCTCAAGAACTGGTCCATGGGGGAAGGCCCCAGGGTCTTAGGCCCCGTTTCCTTCACGCCAAGGATCGGCGGCGAGCGCGGGGGGAAGTGAGAAGGGGCGGGCCTTATCAGAAGGCTCGGAAGTATCCCGGCCTTCTGAGAAGTTTCTATAGGGATTCCCCGAAGACACCGAACATTTCTCAGAAGGCGCGAGGGTTTCTGAGAAGTCCCGCGGCTTTCTGAGAAGGCCTCCTCCCTCTCGCTTTCCCCCTCGCTCGCCGCCTAAAGACGAAAGGCCGGTTCTGACAACGACGGCCCTCCCCGACGCCCTTTTTCTTGCCGCTTGGGTGGTGATCTCCTGGAGGCCTCTCCTCGCCGCGGCGGGACCCGGCTCGAGGAGCGGGTCGGGATGGATCCGGGGAGGGATCTTGTCTTATGATCTTCAAACCTGCTTTAGCCTTGACCGCCAACAAGAATTCCGAGCACCAAGGGGAGACCGAAACTCGAGGGTTTCCACGTGTTGGGCCTCTTGGAGGCGATAGTCTTTCGACATTGTTTCGGTACTTTTTTCTGGGTGCGCGAAATTATTTCGGGGATGTGGTCCTCAAGTGCGAAGGAGCAACCTAAGTCTGGCCACCGATTCCGAGCGGACGTCGGCCGGGCGGGGAAGCCGCCGTTGTCTCAACCGTCGAAGACGAGACAACGTCATAAACATAAACTCTTCGCCCTCCGCGCTGGGCCCCCCCAGCGGCGCCTCCGGCGCCGCCCCTGGCGCCGCCACTGGCGCGCTCCACGCGCCAGGGAGGGTGGTCCAGCGCAGATCCAGGAGATCCGCGCGGAGCTCCGAGCGTTTCTGTTTATGCTGTTTTTCTTGTCCTCAACTGGCCCGCCTCCGAGAGGTGCACGTGTATAATCGGACGAGGGCCCGCGCCGAGTCGCTGGCCGAAGAGTTCGGCTTCCGAGTCTGCGAGGATCGGACCGGAGAAGACAACATCGAGGCAAGTAGCACGCTTGCCATGGCCAAGTTTGTCGCGGTATCCTGTCGACACCGATCTCAATGCTGGCCGTCGCTGATTTGCAAGAATGATCCACGAACCGACGGTGACCAAGATGGGCGGTGAGTTAGACCGGCTCGGACCTCTGGAAGTATACTCATAAGCATTATCGACCTATGGAGGGCTGTACACAAGACGCTGGAGCAGGGGCCCCTTGGGCTCTTTGGAGGGCCTCTGGACTCTGGGCTTCGGGCCGTTCCGCAATTAGACGGCACCCGTTCGTGACCGAGGCTCGCCGTTGCAAGATACGGCCTCCCTGCCGTTCCTGATTTGGCGCTCTTCATCGTATGTGGCGCGATGACTGTGTGCTTGCTCTGCGTTTGGTCATCAGCGTTGGGGAGGCGCTACCCCCGCCGACAGCCACAAATCGACCCTGTCGCGGCCAGCAAAGGTTGCCGAGCGTGGTCCAACCGAGTCGGCCCCCCCGCCAGCCGTCGCAGAAACTAAACTAAGCCCCCGGCCCACGGGCGCGGACCGGTTGATGTTGATCCCCGTCGGGGGGGGACCCTCCCGCGCTTAGCATTAAGTCGGGCATGCCCCTCTACAGGAGGGATATTCAGAAGTACTCAAAAAATAGTCTGGGGACGATTTTCCGATTATTTGTTTTGAATCGTGTTCGCTTGTTGTTTAGTTTAATCCAAAATCCGCCTGCTTGACCCGACCCAAGCGTAACACCGAACACAGCGTGTGCTGTGTCCGGCCCTTCGAAAGACATATAACAGATAGCGGCCCTTCTCAGCGGCGAGCGAGGGTCGGAAGCGAGGAGGAGGAGGAGGCCTCCTCAGGAGGCTCGGAAGCGACCCGGCCTCCTGAGATGTGTTCTGAGCCTTCCCCGAAGATAGCAACAGCACTTCTCAGGAGGCGCGAGGGCTCCTGAGAAGTCCCGCCGCCTCCCGAGAAGGCCTCCTTCCTCTCGCTTTTCCCCCCCTTCGCTCGCCGCCGAGCAGCTCCTGGCCCCTGGAAGGACCTGGAGCAGATGGCGGCCCTGCCCGAGCTGCACGTCGTGGTGAACACGCTGCCCGGCTCCACGGACTTCACCCTGCCGGAGGCGGCGGCCGCCGCGCTGCGGCGGTGCAGGCCGGTGGTGCTCGAGGCGTCCTACATCCCCCGCCGCACGGCCTTCCTGAGGCAGGCCATGGCCGCGGGCTGCACGGCGACCGAGGGGCAACGCTCGGGGGGGAGGGGCCCAGACCCCCCCCCCCGCGGTGCGGAGAGCTCACGGCGGGAGGCGTTCCGCCGTGCTCGGGCTCCTGCGGGCCCCTGCCCAGGCCTCGGGACCGTCGAGAAGCCACTCGGGGCGGAGAGCCGGTTCCCGGGGAAGGGGTCCAGACTGCCGAGGGTCACGACATGACAAGTCACGCCGTCGGGGGTCTGGGGGCGCGGGGGTGGACGCATCGATCCCCCAATCGCTGACTCGTCGCCCACGGGGGCCCGATAGCTCTGGGGCCTGCCACGTGGGGTCGGAGCAGGCGGGGTCGAAGGACCGCGCCGCACCGCCGATGTATCGGCGGTGCGGCTCGATGCGGAACCCGGTCTACGCCACGCCGACGTCGCCGATGCATCGCTGAGGCATCGGCGATGTGGCGCGATCCCCCGACCCCATCTGCTCCGACCACAGCTGGGAGGCCTTTGAGAGCCCACCCCGCCCAGGAGCGCGCGGATCTGACACCCGGGGGCTTGTCGCCGATCCATCGGCGACGCATCGCCGATTCTGGGTACTCCGGAGGCCGATTTTTTTGGGCGGGCCTGGCGTTTCGCCTGAGACGTCCTCATCCATTTATGGTCCTGAAGTTCAAAAAGTGGCAACAGCTTCACAGACGGAGGGCGGGTGGTTTTCAAAATGTGGCTCTCGCCTAAGCGCCGCGCACATTCGTTTTCAGACATTTGTAAGAGTTTCACGGATCGAGGGCGAGCCGTTTTCAAAATGTGGCTCTCGCCCTAGCGCCGCGCGCATTATGTTTCAACACTTGCAAGAGTTTCATGGGTTGAGGGCGGCTCCTTTTCACAATGTGGCTCTCGCCTGAGCGCCGCGCACATTCGTTTTGTGTTAACATGCAAGATATTCGCGGGTTTCCATGATCGACGTACCAAAAATTGCATTTTGGAAGGGTTCGCGGTTCAGAGGGTGCAACATTCATGGTGAGTCGCGGTGATGAAGTCCCAGGAATGGCGTTCTGGGACGATCCAGGGTCGTCACGAGACAATATTCAACTTGATCCGTGGCGCTGGAATCCCGAGAACCATGTTTTGGCATGCTTCAGGGTCTGAAGACGGTTGTCTTTCAACGAGGCAGGTCCCTCTGTGGAAATGAACCGCTGTAGGGGCCTGTGAAAAGGGAGCTTGGGGGGAGGGTTTATTCAAACATCGTTGATGACTCTTGGTTTTACACTGGTCCTCATCCTCCTCCTGCTCCTCCTGTTCCTCCCCCCTCCTCCTCCTACTCCTCCTCCTCCTCTTACTCCTCCTCCTCCTCCTCCACTTCCTGCTCCTCCTCCTCCTCCTCCTCCTCCTCCTCCTCCTCCTCCTCCACTTCCTCATCTTCCTCCTCCTCCTCCGCCTCCTCCTCCTCTTCCTCCTCCTCCTCTTCCTGGTCTTCCTCCTCCTCCTCCTCCGCCTCCACCTCCGACTCTTCCTCCTCCTCCTCCTCCTTCTGCTGCTGTTCCTCCTCCCTCCCCCTCCTCGTCCGCCTCCCTTTGTTCCTCCCCCCCGCCTCCTCCTCCTCCTCCTCCTCCGCCTCCTCCTCCTCTTCCCCCTCCTTCTATTGTTGCCCAGCAGGTGATCGAGGGCATCGAGATGCTGTACGAGCAGGGCTGTGAGCAGTGCCAGATCTGGACGGGCCGTGCCGCCCCCCGCGCCGACATCGCCGCCTCGCTCTGCGGCGCGCTCTTCAGCGAGGCCTCCACGCACCCCGCCCGCGCGAAGATGGAGCCCATCGCAGAGGTACCGCAGGCTCTGGGGATAATATCCCAGTAGTTCGGTGGCAAATTATGGGAGCCTGGTACACCCTCGTAGTTCTGTCTTTAGCGTCGACTAGCGTCGATCAACGTCTAGAGTCTAGAGTCGATGAGACAGCGCCGATTCAACTAGCGTCGGACAGCGTCGATTAGCGTCGATCGAGCGTCGGCTATCTTTGATTCAGTGCCGGTTAGCGTCGATTCGCAAGAGCCGCTAGGATGGTACAGGAGGATCCCATGAGCTGCCACCGACCAGTAGGTCAGTCTTGTGTCGACGCGGCGGCGGCGCTCGCGCTGGCGTTCAAGGTTGTGTGCCGCCAGTGGCCCAGAATCGTCCGTCATCGATGCCGGGAGTTTACGATCGCTCAAGGTTGACCGATCCCCGGGGTGTCAGAAACAACCGCCGAAGTCGCCACGACGACACGAAATCCCCGAACCCATACTGCTGCCACGTGGAAGCGAGACGGACTCTCCAGATCTCCCAGCGCCGTTCGAGGATGGAGGTCCATCAGCGCTGCGAGTCGCCCGAGACGCCTCCAGGACGCCCAAGATGGCTTCCAGACGGCACACGAGACCCCAATCGCAAGAGGGCTCAGAGAGGCGCCCCCAGAAGGCCCCGAGAGGCCAAACATCCGCTGTTTTTCTCAATGTGTCTGGAGGAGTTTGGAGGTCTGGCCAGTTCGGGCTTTCGGCGGTCCAAGACGGCGCAGGAGGCCCCCCAAGATCGCCCAAAGACGGCCTGGGGAGCAGCGGCATCGATACCGGCGCTCGTGCGCACAACGGTGCGATTGGGTGGCTCACAAACCACGGCACCTCGCTGGGCCCCTCCGCCTCCAGTTTCTCTTCTGCTCTCTTCTTTCATGTCTTCTTCGCCCTCTTCCTCCTCTTCATGGACCAGTGCTCGCTTGTGGGGCCCATTTCCCTTCTGTGTGGACGCGGCGCCCCCTGCAGCACCGCGGCCAGCATGAGTTGGCCCGGTGCACTTGCTGGACGCGGGTGTCGATGTATTTTGGGAGTTCTTTTTACAGTGGGGACCAATGCCAAGAAGCACCCTGCTTGCCTCAAGTTGCCCTGGGTTTCTTGGGTTTCGATGGGCTTGCTATGGACAGCGTGACCTTCCCATACTCGAAAACCAGTGGACGTCCTAGGGTCCCAGGGTTGGGTTTCTCGTGGGAGGCCTCTTGTGGTCGAGCTCTTACTGTATAGTATGAGTTGGCCCAGTGCACTTGCTGGACGCAGGTGCCGATTCCTTGTGGAGGCTCGGTCTGCCCGTGCCCGTGCTGCTTTCCCGCAGGCCCTGGCGGAGCAGCTGGGCCACGCGCGCCGCGGCGAGGGCTGGCGCAGTCCGGCGCTGGCCCTGACCGCGGCGGCCGCGCTGACCGTGGTCGCGGCAGTGGCCGCGCAGCGCCGCCTGAGGAGGTAGGCTCTGCTCGGAGGCCCGGAGGTTGGCACCAACTCGGGGGAGAAAAAGATGCAGATACGTGTTGTCCCCCTTCGTTTTCGGCCTTTCCTGGTCCTCCTGGGGAATCCTCGTTATCATCGCTGGATTCGCCTCGAAATTCTGGTCAGAACGCACCCCAGGAGAGGTCCGGGGACAACACGTATCCGTATCTTTCCGCCCCCCAACCAACACCAAGATCGGCAGCGTGCCTCCGCCGAGGGAGGCGTCGGTGCAAGAGGGCGCCTAACCCTGACAACACGACGAAGGCGTGGCCTCGCCGAGGTCCCCGTCTTCGCACCGGGGACAATACATCTGGCCGGTGTGGTCCGATGCCTCTTCAGAAGGACAAGCAACATCCCTAATGTTGATTGCCCTCCTAAGTTAGGTCCCCTCCCAAAGGGTTATAGGTGTACTTGTATTGCTCATCTTGAAGTTGATCCCAATCGCGGCGATGTCAGAGCCCCGAATCATCAGGGGTAACTCGGGTCAGGGATAACACGGGTTCGTTTTTCGGGAATCCAAACCCGAGTTACCCCGGACCCGAGTTACCCCGGATAAATCGGGCGTCCAAGAGCCCCGAATCATCAGGGGTAACTCGGGTCAGGGATAACTCGGGTTCCTTTTTCGGGAATCCAAGCCCGAGTTACCCCGGACCCGAGTTATCCCGGATAACTCGGGCGCCCAACGATGGTTGTAACATTTGGGCCTCCCAGGTGGCCAGAGGATGACCACCAGCACCAGAATCTAGGATCAGCCTCCCGCGGTGAGCGCAACTCCCTGTTTTGGTCTCGGTGTCAATTCCCAAGCCTCCAATGTGTAGAATTTGCGGAGGACCTCCACTGTTTCGACTCTGGCCACGAGGGGCGGACGTATCCATATTAACACTCTCTTGGTCAAGGTTCCTAGTCGCGATCCCGCAGATACGTGGTCGCAGCATACGTTCCGCGCGGATATGTCCCGCTCGGGGCAGTGAAAAAACAGTTGTTGTCGAATCTGCGGGGGGCTTCCATTGTCTCGACTCCTTTGGCAGCGAAGTCCGAACACCACTCTCGCCGATCAACGGTTCAGGCAATTCGATGGGCGGCGGGGATAGGGTTCGGACTGCGCAGGCAAACACATGGCGCTACTCTTCCCACGAGCGGCGAACCTAGTATCCATATCCACGCCCTCGCGGTCTGGATTCCCAGGCGCGATCCCGCGATTCAGCGGTCGCACGGATGCATTCCGCGCGGGGCATCCGCAGCAAGAACGCTCCGTATCCGCGGGGTCGCGGCCCAGGGGGCCCGCGCCCGCGAGGACACGGACACCTGAGATGCGTGTTGGCCCACGAGATGGCCGCACTTCTCGGCGTCCAGGTGGCCCCGCAGCCTCGGAATGGCCTCAGGCAGCCTTGGGCTGGCCCCGGACGGCACCGGAGAGGCCTCGAGCTGGCCTCGAGCTGGCCTCGAGCTGGCCGCGGACGGCGCCAGAATGGCCTCTCCTCCTCCTCCTCCTCCTCCTCCTCCTCCTCCTCCTCCTCCTCCTCCTCCTCCTCCTCCTCCTCCTCCTCCTCCTCCTCGTCGTCCTGGGGCCCTCGCGCGGCCTCCGCGGAGGCGGGCCTCGCGCGGCCTCGGCACGGCCTCCGCGGGCCTCCTCGGCAGGGCCCCCCCATGCGGGCCTCGGGCAGCCCCGCGCGTGGCGCGGGATGGCTCGGCCAGCGAGGCTCGGGGGCGGAAAAGAGGGGGGTGATGACTAGGGGGGGGGGGATATCATGGCGCCAGCCATGAGATCTCCGCAGATTTCATGGCGCCTCTTCTTATTTCATTACGTCCCAGGCCCCCCCGCTGGGCCGCGCACATGCCGCCGGTCATGATTTGCACCCCCCCCTCTTGGACACCCCCCTCTTGGCCGCTCCCGAGAGGCGGGGACGGCCCTCCAGGAGTTTCAGCAGGCGGCAGCGTCCCGCCGGCCGTGCTCATCCAGGGTTCGCTTCGGTCCGATCGGTTCGCTTCGGCGTCGGCCTCGGCCGGCCCGGGCCGATCTCGGCTCTGGAACGTTGGAGCGGTCCGGAGGTGTCCCGGAGTGTGCGTGGCGCGGTCGTGCACCGTGGCGTTCGGCGATCCGATTCGGCTTTGACGCCTTGCCGATGCCGCCCGAGTCCGACGCGATTCCGATGCGATTCGGTTGTCCAGTTCGATCCCTACGGCGTGGGCGTCATTTAAGGAGTACACCAAGGAGATTCAGACCCTCGATCGGGCCGGGCGAAAGGAGGGGCCGGGAGAATGGCCTCACCGAGGGGCCCAGTCCTCGATACATAGCCGCCTCCGGCGCCGGGAGGCGCCGGGAAAATCAGCTACGTGAGCTGATTCTCAAACCCCCCTTTGCTCCCCCCCTTTCGCCCGACCCGACTCGAAGGTTCTTTATCCGAAGAGGACGTCAGTGATGGCCAAGCCTCAATTGGTGCTCCACCGACATCCATAGCCCTAGATTCCCGAACTAAGGCTTCCTTATCAAATGCCCTCACCGTACCGCTTATGCGAAATTGCAGCTCCTCCACTCGGGCACGCTTGACGTCGGAATTCAAGGTCAGGCAGTTTTGGTAGATTTGCGCGATTGCTCGAGACAATTTCCCGAGCCAGTGTCCTGAGCTGTAGCCGCGAGGCTGCCTTCGCGTTGGTGCCCGCGTTGCATCGCCTTGCGCCAGGCTGCGCATGGCGTCCAGCACGACGAGCACCGTCGACTGCGTGCGCAGCTCCTGGGTAGGGCCTCGAGACAGCCCGACCCGAGAGGGCCCCAAGACGACCCCAGTAACTACGTCCCTGAGCTTTCCCAAGATGGCCCGCACGGGACCCCGAATCGCTTCGAGTCAGAAAGTAAGTTGCTGAGACAGGCGTGGTTGGCAGCAAGATGGCCCTAACCCAATACGCCTCCAATACGGCCCCTAAAAGACAACAGCATCTTATCACAAGCTTCATATTGGCAACGCATCCATCCCGAAAGAGATTCACACACCGTCTTCGCGTGGCTAGTTTGGGGGAGAAGTGCTCCGGCGGGGCGGGCACTGCGAGGGGCCATTGCCCTCTCCAAGGGGGAGCCGAGGTTTGGTTTAGAGAGGCCAGCATTTGATCATCAAGCTACCTCACCCGATTCCCAGTCTCGGGCAGAGTTTTCTCCCTACCTCCGGATGCGGCTCCTGGGATTTCAAATTCAGCACCGGCACTGGTACAGCCGCGGTCGAGAGTCAGCATCATCTGGCTGAGTCCCGTCTTGTCATTGCCAGGTCTGCCCAGGAGTTGATCCCTGACTTGCCTGCTCCTCTCCTCCTCCCTGAACTGGAGAGCCCCTTTTTGCCGTTATCCCCCTGGACTTGCCCTCGTCCCCGTCAGAGAGCCAGGCTGTGCAGCGAGCAAGCACCACTGACCAAGACCTCCATTGTCGGGATTCTTCTACAACGAGGTCTCGACAACATCCCCACGACCTGAGTTTCATGACAGCCCTGGGCCCCAGGAATCAGAAAGCTGCCCCCCAAAGAGTCCGTCGCGATGGCTCAAGGGGATACGTGTTCCTCTGGGCTCCAGGGTCGGCAGCGGCTGCAGGATTTTTTGTTGGGCAGCTCTGGGCAGAACCTCCAGGCGCATCCAGCCGTGACCCCAAGGGCGCCTCAGGATGAGCAGAAACATCCAAGAGTCAACCTCGAAAACCTGGATCCTCGAACGACACGAGGAGACCTGGAGAGATTATTTCGCTTCGACGAGGTGACGTTCGTGTTGCCACCATCGCGGTCGGCTCCTCGCCTTCGCGCCGATTTTCACCTCGGCCTCCATGCTAGCACGCCCTCGCGCTCGCGTGCGCTGGGTTTCTTCCTGCTCCGCACGGCTGACCTTTTGGTTCCCCTCCTTGAGCCTTAATCCTCTTCGTTCCCCTTCCAATCCTGGTCACACTGCTCATCTTCTTCCTCCTCGTCCCCCTCCAGTGCGAATTCTCGAACGATAGAACCACCCTGCTTTCTCCTCAATCTCTTCCCCCTCCTCCCCGTTCCGTATCCTTGTCGTCCGCCTCCGCCGTGCCTTTGTTTGTCCCGTTGGCGTGAAGGGTGAGTTGCGCCTACGTGTGTTGATGATCATGTTTTTCGTTTCTACTGCGGCATCGCCAGCGGTCATCTCTGGATCAAGACGGACCGATGAGATTTGGAGAGATCGAGCGTGGGTGGACCGCATCATCATGTCGGAGAGGCGGTGTCCACCGCTCGTTTTCCGTGAGCGGCATGTACGGGGTTGGAGATTGTTTTCTGACACAAGTCAGCATTGCAGCTGCGGCGTTGCATGAACAGAAGATTGTGTCCATCTCTTGAACTTGATCGTGGTGCCCAGCAGGTATATCGAGTTCTTCCACGGCGCTCGCGCGAAGATCTTCTACTTGGACGAGTATCTAACGCCCGATGGCGGGGACAGGGATGGCGTGTGAGAGTGAGCGTGGATGACAGGGGCCAGGGAGGTTGGCGGACAGAGTGGGCAGGGAGAGCGAGGCCAGGGAAACATGGCAGGAGGTTGCGCTTCGGGGCGGCGCTGGGGAGGGCAGGGAGACTGAGGACCCCGGCACTCTTGACCTCTTGCTGCCTTGCTCGCGCGCTGCACGGCACGCGCCTTGGACACCGCAGCCTTTTGGCCCAGAAGGGGACCTAGAGAGTCCGAAACGCGTCGCCAGCTACAAGTGGTTGAGATCGGTAATACACGAAGCGTCGTTAACACATCGTGGCCGAAGGCTTGGGACAACTCTCTGCCTCCCGGGAGGGGCACTTACGGGGCCCCATGGCCGCCGATCCGGAGACCACCGGTGGCCCTGGGGATCCATCGGGGCTCTGGTGCTCTTCAAACGTAGCCGACACATCCTGTCGGGTGGGGAGTTACACGCTGGTCGTTGGAAGTATGTATTTTTGGATTCCCAGGTCCCAATCTACTCTTGGCGCCCTCCTACTTCAAGGATCGACAGGTTTCTTTCTTCCCACCTCTTCAGGGGCGGGCGGAAGCCCAATCTACTTCCACCGCTATATAAACTATTGCGCCTCCGGGACTGCATTTCACGAGGCTTGTCCGAATCATGACACGGCGCTCGACATCGTTCTTGTTGCTTCGTTGTTGTTATCGTACCTCTTGGTGCTCTTTTGTAGCCTTTGTTGGCATCTTGGCCTGTCTGCAGGCCGTATCCGGCCGCCTCGAGGCATCTTGGGCCAAGTTTTGGAGCCTATTGGGGGGTTCCTGGGGGCTTCTTGGAGGCTTTCGAGGTTCTCTTGGGGGATGCGCATGCCACTATATATTCCCCTGCTGCCTGTGGTTTTTCTAGGTTGCGTATGCCAGGGCGTGTGTCTTTTGACATCGGTCGTTGTACACGTTATCTCTTTTTGCCCAGCTGGCGCGACGCCGTGACGCTTGCCATGCGTGCTCAGTGAAGGAGTGTTCCTATCATTCTGTTGCTGGCAATAGGACCTGTCATGGATGCGTTTCGGGCATTGCGGGGCCAGTGTGGCGTAGTAACTCCTGGGATGTGTGATGGAGTTCATGTGGAGCGCTTGGCCCGTAGTCACGGGATACATTCATATCGCGATTATGTTGTAGTTTATGGTGTCACGCTAAGTCTCCCAATTGTATTGTATGTGACATTGTGTTGTCGTATGTTCTCGACGGGCCCGCGTGATGTATTGACGCCTGTCATTTTTCAACACGTCACCATAGTATAGTCTGCTCCGCCTACACTGTTGCATTTTGCGATACATCGTAGTACGTGATGAATCGTGTTGTTTCTCTTGTCACTTCTCGGCATGGCGTCTGTGGCCCCACATCGGCGCGCATGTTGCATTCGATAGAAAGCCGTCACTCGGTCGTTGCTGCGTTCTCCGGCATTCGGCTCCTTTCCGTACCAGTATGTTGTCTGCTCATGTTATGTTTGGGTTTGTTATGTTCTCGACGGGCCCGCGTAGAGTCGTGGTGCCTGTCACGATTGATGTGTCACAGGTAATGGCGAATTCGGTTCTGGTCTCTTCTGAAATTTACGTTGCGCTCGAACGTGATATGTTGTGTTTCCTACAGCCGTTGGTTTCCTTGTGGTCGTCACTCACGGTTTATAGTGGTTAATTAGTTCCTCTTATAACATGATCTTATCATCCGTACGAGTCGAGTCAGCATTGAAACATTGACCATCACGCTATGTTCTACTGCCATGTGTAGTTTTGCACCCTTATCTTGGTCTTAACTGCAGTACACGCTTGTTCTACTGCCATGTGCTCTACACTACATCTTGGTCTTCACTGACTGATTTCGGTTCCACGTCTGTTATGCCATTTTTTATAATGGTATGGTATGTCCGGTTATGTTTTATTCTGTTATGTGACGGCCCAGAAAAGGACCCCCGCGGAATCTTGGTTGGTCCTGGGAATTTGGCGGCCGAGGCATGTGGCGAACACAACAGCAACCGCGTGGTACCGTTGGTGGTCTTGGGGATCTGGCGGTTGCGATTTGTGGTAGCCAACAAAGGAGTCCCTGCGGGACCGCCGCGGGACCACCGCGGGACCACCAGTGGTCCTGGGGATCTGGCGGCCGCGGTAGATGGCGGCCCACGAAACGATTCACGCGGGACCATCGCGGGACCACCAGTGGTCTTGGGGATCTGCCAGCCGCGTCATGCAGGGTGGGCGGGTCTGGAGGCCGGTCCCCAACATCTACCAAACCACATTTGCTCGATGGGTGAACAATTGCAGTGCGAACCACAAATTGTCCTCCCAGCCCTGAAATCATTTGTTATTTTATGGGCGGGGGAAGTCACGGAGGTGGCCACTTGCAGAAGAAATCGGCACGCTTGTTCGCTGTGCGAACGAACATTAGCGTTTGGTGACCAAGCGCGCAGGCAGCACATTCTTGCCTCCAAAGGAAGCCGACTTCTCTGGACGCTCTTTTCGCGCAATTGCCTCCGTAGGGGGCCGGGGTTGTCGTCGTCCGTCTGTCCGTCCGGGTGTGTGTCCGTCCGTTTGTCTGTCTGTTTGTATGTGTCCATCGTCTGCCTGTCGCCTGTCTCCCCGTCGCCTCCGTCGGTCGTGGCTGCCAGGAGCAGTCGTCGCAAGGAAGGCGTCCTGCGGACTCGCCCGCTGACGGGCGTCGAGTAGCAGGGCGCGCCTGGCGCGCGCAGCTTCTTTTTACCACATCCGCCCACCCGAGCTGCGAGAAGCAGCATTGCAGGCCGTCCGCTGGGCTGGGGCGCTGGGGATCTTTACGTCGCCGTGGCCTTCACAGTCCCCTGGACCTTTCCCAACCGTTCTCGTCTCACTTGCGGAATTCCAGCCTGAAGCTGGGACGGCAAACTTGTAGCGCCACGACTGATTCAACGCAAAAACAGCTCAAGAAAAGAGTGATGGATTTTTGGTCGGGTCGAGGGCGCCGTGGGCTTCACACCCTCCGCGGAGCTTTCCGAACCCTTCGTCTCAATCGCGGATTCCACTGCTGAAGCTTCAACGGCAAAGTTACGGATAAGTCAAGTTGCGTTGCAAAGCGTCATGTGATGCACAAATCATGTGTTGGAATTGTGTCGGGGGCGCCGTTTCCAGGACTTCTCCCAATCGCTCACGTCTCGCTCGCGGGGTCCACTGCTGAAGCTGGAACGGTAAAGCTGCACCGCCCCACAAATTGCAGCGCAACATGGACTCTTGGCATCGCTCGGACGTGTGAATTTTCTTTAGGCGAGGACCATCGAGGAGCATCCTTGATCATGTGGCGAAGCAGCCACGCACGAAACCGAAAAGAACACAGGGAATGGACGTCCGAGCGATGGCCAGGACTACAGCGCTAACATCAGCTTAGGCTTAACACAAGCAGGTTCGGTCGGGGACCGAGGGCGCCGCGGGCTTCACACCCTCCTCGCACCTCTTCAAACTGTCTCGCCGCACTGGCGGACACGAGAGCCGAAGCTGCAAGGGCGCCGAGGCAACGTGAGCACTGCGATGCACAACGCAGGCAACGACAGCACACCTGCAGTGAACAGAACACGGCTTTCTGGCGGGAGGCCGAGGGCGCCGTGGGCTTCACACACACACCCCACTGGACCGTCCCAAACCGCGCTCTCCAGTTCACTCACCACCCACCAAACCACCCCAACCCAACCCGAAGGCTCAGATTTACCCTCGATTTCCAGTGGGGGGGGGTCGGGAAACGTCGAAAAAACACGTGTGGAACTCTTACCCCCCCCAACCCGAAATTCGGGTCTTCGGGTTGGGTTGGGGTGGTCTGGCAGGTAGTCATTCACGGAGTCCGCCGAAGCCAACAAGGCAGAGCTGCAGCGCAAAGAAGTCCGCAGCACGATCCCAGACGGGCAGCGAACAAAAGGGCCTTGCAGCGCAACAGATGCTGCTTGCGGGTCGGGCCGGCGGCGCCGTAGGCTCACATCCTCTCCGGACCTCTCCGATCCGCCCTCGCCTCACTCGCGGCCCCCAGAGCTAGAACGGCAAAGCTCTCTGGACCTCTCCAGGTCTCCTTCGTCCAAGTTGCAACCCTGCATCCCCCATGCCAAGCCAAGGCTTGCGGTTATTAGATGTGGGGTCCCGCCGTGCGTTGCGGGGCTAGAATTGTATGGTTTAGTTCAAGCGTTGCATTGCGGATTGAAGGTGGTGTATACCACCGACGTTGGCTACTTCGTGTTCAGCGTCGGTTCCCCCGGAAGGCGAAGGAGTAGGAAGAAGATGGCGACGACGACGTCGCCGACCTCGATGACGGGGAGCAGCTGGAGCGTTCGAGCGTTATGCGCGGTCGTCGTTAATGTTCGTGGCTCGGATGGCCTGCTTCGGCGTCGGCATCGCCGACGTTGTTGTGCTCGTCTTCCTTGTCGTCATCGCCTCCATCGTCGTCCACCCCTCTCTTCCTCATGCTCGCCCGTCCTCTTCGGTGTACGATGCGGCTCTGTTTGAAGGTAGCATGACAGGTTCAATGGTGAAAGAGAGCCGTGAAAATGATGAAGCAATCGATACACAAATACGCTACGTAAGAACACCTGGTACAGACACGACGGCAAAACATTACGCAACAAAAACACTCCAGGGCGCTCCCCAGGGGCGCTCCCGGCGGCGCTCCCCAGGGCTCTCCAGCGGCCCGTTCCTTACGGATTCAGCACTCCAGGGCATTCCCGGCGGCGTTCCCCAGGGCGCTCCTGCGGGGCTCCCGCGGCCGGCTTTTTTGGCGGACTCGGACTGCGTAAAGACACCGCGTAAACGCATCCCGGGGCGCTCTTCCGGGTGCTCCCAGCGGCGTTCCCCAGGGCGCTCCTGCGGCGATCCCGCGGTCCGCGCCCTGCGGACTCGGACTACGCAGAGGCATCACGTTAAAGCATTCCAGGGCTCTCCCTGCTGCGCTCCCTTTGGCGCTCTGGCGGCGCTCCGGCGGCGCGTTCCCTGCGGGCTCGGGCGGC